TTCGACCTTTGGGGGTAATGTTGTGAGGTTCATGGTCATGTACGCTGCCATTCAAGGCGCCTTATTTGCCTCTTTCCTCCCACCAGCATAGCGTACAGTTTATCTATGTTAGCAGTGCTTCCTGAAATGCAGCTATTGGTACCGCCCGGGAGGGAGTATCTGAGAGCATACAAGCCCAACGGCCACAATTGCTATCTAGTCTACGATGTGTTAATATTGCAAGCCTTGTTCATGATGTATGTCCTCATGCTGCTAGATATTCCAGATAGGCTCGAAATATTTACGGATTACTAATCACTGTCGTAATATCTGGCATTCCAACGTAGCCTCAATATTCCCCATACAGCTACCTATTACCACCAGCTTTACTTAGCCAACGCCTCTTACTACTTAGTCCGCCACCGTGTTCACGCATTAGAAACAGGTAGTTAAGTCGTTGTATGCAAAATAATCATATAACTTACCTATTCACGCTATAGCATTAACAAAGGTTGGCCTAAATAGAATGATAGGTAAATTACCCGTGCACATGCCTACACAAGTCTTACAATGCAACGGATACTCCTATCAAGGAATTCATAATATTGTAATCGGTCTCTAAACTAGATGTGAGTTAGAATTGCTTATCCAAAACGATCATTTTATGCTACGAAGAATGTGTCGGGAAGCTGATACTATAGAAGTGTAAGGAATAATCAGTCCTGTCATAACATAGCCGCTGGGAGGTCGAGCTACTATGTACAGGGTCACCAACCTTTATTCAGTTATACCGGGGTTTTCAAATCAGTAAAAATAAAAAAAATAAAAAAACATTTAATGGCTAGAATCAGCAGCTAAAGAGGACAATAGGTACCTAATACGGTCGTTAACATAGACAGGTGTTAACAGCAGCTGATTTGACTACCTAGGTAACAATAGAGGTGATTACACGTGAAGTTGACTGACTACCTACCTAGTTAGGAATATGATTATTCGAAAAGGAAAGAACGGAACGCGATCACTTGACCTGTTTCTGTATCTTTGTAGCTGCTGCCGCCTACAACTTCCCCGGATCACACCCGATCACTAACAGTCTTATATACACTACAGATATAATATTCTAGATCAGCTACTGGGCAGATGGCACTATAGCTGTAGGAAAATACCTTACGTATAAAGAGGAAAGGGCTTGGGAACAGTACATATTATTATCGTGCAATTTCTTTTTTTAAAAATCTGTATGCGTGAGGGTATTGAATTCTAGCCGTTTTGGGGGTCTCGCCAGCCGACGACATCCGTAGGTAGGTGATGAATGGTATAACAGATTGTGATCCGGGGCAACCTCATTGTCAAAACTCTTAGTGGTACCTTCCAGAAAACCATAAACAGAGAAGATCACATGGAATATTGTGATATAGAATGCAACTACGATATCTGAACATGAATAGGAGCTAACAAAGGGGAAGGTACTTCTATGCCGCGAAGGTATCCTAGAGTGATTAGAAGCTGATTGTACGTGATCTAGAAACTAGAATGTGAAGCGCAATGTAGAAAGTACCGGAAGTAGTTAAGTACCGTACTACTGATTAGTCGCCGCCGTAACTGCCTCCATCCCGAACATTGTTGATATCGCCTCTTTAAAACGCCCTCCGCGTTCCTCTCTCAACCCAGCAACGAACTTCCCAATTTCATCCCACAACTACCTTCAAACCTCACTGACTTCAAACCTCACCCACTACATCATAACAATCCGCACCAGTAACTACCACCAAACCTCACAATACTAAAGCAATTAACCTTCTAAAATTCAATATCACTTCAACGTCGACAAGCACATTTCGCAAGGAATAATTCAAGATGTCTTCTTCGCGTCAGAACGACGACTACCGCGATGGCGAGTATGGTAGCAAGAGCTACCGAAGCTACCGAAACACTCAAGACCGTGGATCTCACCGAGAAGGTAAGCTCCTCATCCCGATCTACTCGAAAGATAACTTATCCAACCTTCTCAATTCTACAGACTATTCCGCAGTTTCCCCCATTGAGCACCATTCTTCTCCCCATCCCTCCCCTACCACCCCTTCGTCACCTAAGCACTCTCGTAAGAACCTATCTGAGCTCTCCAACCAACTTCCCTACACCCCATCCCACCCTCGCGTTAGAGACTTGAAAGACAACATGGGACCTCCTATCACCAAGAGCTCTTACCGCAGCCGTGGCCACGACCGCGCCCGCAGCACTAGCAATGGCTATGAGATGACTCATAGCTCGCCCGTTCGTGCTCGCGGCTACGTTGATGAGACCAAGACCTCATCTGATGTGCGAGACTGGCTCAAGCTAACTGGCTGGCACGATGAGGACTTTCGCAGCCAGAAGTTGGCCGAGTTCCGCACCGAGATGAGAGCCGAGGAGGAACAGCATGCTATCAACGCAGTTACTGAAGGCATGTCCGGAAGCCACAAGGGCGGTAAGTCCACTACGAATGACCTTGAATTTGTCCGAGCTATTAATGACTGTTCCTTCCAGCCACTGAGATGCGCTCCGAGGGCCGTAGCTTCCAGCGTGGCCGTGCTGGCGGTATTGATTACCGCTCCTCGCGCGACCGTTCGGCTTCGCCCCATCGCTCTACCCGACCTACATTCAACCGTACTCGAGACTACCATCACTCAGAGCATGGCCAACCCTCCACTTCTGAGGAGACTCCGCCTGGTCGTTACGATCAGCACGGTCCGAAGGTCCAGCTGGCGGTCGATGAGAGAGACAGCATCCGCGAGTATGCACACACGGATATCCCCAAACCTCTTTCACTGGATAACGATGGTAAGTCTAGTCCTATAGACTCATTCGAAATTCGAGAAGTACCTTCATAATGGCTTACTAATGACTGTCTCGTTTCACAGAGATTCGATTCTTCGTCATACGATCCTTTAGCTGGAGTAACATCTATGACGCTATGGTGAGTTATACCCTATTAAATAAGGACACTTCAAAATGGATTACTGATCTTTCCCAACAGGATGATGGTGTCTGGGCTACTCAGCTTGCCAACGTCGCTCCTCTTTCGGAGGCTTTCTTGACTGCTCCGACCGTGGTACTCTTCTTTTCTGTGAACGGATCTCACGGAATCCAGGGATATGTTAGTATCTTCTTCTTACCTCAGTCTATTCTTTCTTTACCCCTTTCACCACCTATTAATCCACTTCATTTACTGACTCATACTCACAGGCCGTCATGAAGTCCCTTCCTTCCGAGGACGTTGTGCGTCCCAAGTGGTGGAAAGACATCAAGATGGAAGTCTCGGAGCCGTTCGAGCTCGAGTGGTTCCTGAAGGTCCATGTTGACAACAAGCACTTCTACTACATCCTCAATTCCCTGAACGAGGGTCTCCCTGTTACTCGTGCTCGAGATGGACAGGAGATCTCGAACAGCGCTGGTCGCCAGCTGAAATCTGTTCTAGAGAACCGCGCCACAGCCCAGATCGAACACGATAGGCGCCAGGAACGCTTAGCCGGGATCGGACACGCTAGGCAGCAGGCGCGCTTGGTCAAAGATGATTAGGCATAACATTTGACACCTAGGTTTCTCAATTGCAACTTCGACATCTCTATTCAAGGGACGAATGCCGACAGGGCGTGTTAAGGGTTAACACATGCCGAACTGCCACTTCGACACGGCTATTCATACGGAGAAACATCATCAATGCATACTAAGGGTTAACGTATGCAAATCGGTATTAGCATCTGGCCTCTTTGCTTTTTCTGCTCCGGACCGCACATGGGCGGATCGACGGAGATCAACATATCACCCCCACCCCCAAATTACACAGCACTAATAATCCTTTCCTATCACTACACCAAATTTTCCTTTTTAACACATTGCATTCACTTCAGTTACTTACTTGAGGGTCTTCCGGAATATCTGACAGCTGGATTTCCGAGACTACGAGGACGGCACCGATTTCTACCCCAGGGTACAGCATTTCCCCTAGGTACTCTTAGGTACCTAACTGGGCCATTTCATCTAACGTCATTAGACCCTATGAATTATCTTGGTGCACATCCAAGATAGCATCATCCTACATAGGAAACAATGGCGGAGGTGACTGGCCAGTAGCTAGGGACATCGGGATTGACAATATCAGACCTCCTTACAGTAGTTAGAACACCTCATATCAATCAGATATTTCCCCCTAAACTTATGAAAATATCATATCACAGTAAACATAAATCTGAAATGCATAGTGACTAAATAGGGCCTGAACATCTTAATGCGCCTCACCCAGCATTGCTAACTAAGATACCTCTTTGAACTAATCATACCAATAACGCGCCTATTTATTGCTAAGGCCTCATTTACAGGTAAACTAACATCATTCTGCCATGGAAATATCAATGAATATTCACTTCTAAATTGATATCATGCAAGTCATAAGGACAATGGTAAATAAAGGTCCTAAGTTACTACTTCAACACATCAACCAACCAACAACGGCTTCTTTCTCAAAGCATGCAGTAGGACATCACGGTAGTCTTTATGAAATATCTATCGTCTTATTTGAACTCATGTTCAATTCTGTTGACCTTGTTGCTGTAATTCGAAAAGAGTTGACCAGTATTCCTAGCACCGTTTGACGTCTGTACCCAATTGCTAAACTGCAGCTTCAATGACGTCATAGAAGCAACTCAACTTTGCTAATGACCATGAAATCTAGAGATAGCTACCTACATGCACTATTGCAGAGAATGGGTATGAAGTAGGGGTTTGAAATTGACCATTCCCGTTTCTCTAGGATTGCCAATTTCACAGAGGTACAGCACCTGAACGGAGAACTTAGAGGACGAAAGTGCACGCCCCACCAGAGGTACCGTCAGAAATGTTGAACAATTGAACGTCCGAACATGTAACTGATTCATTCATCCATTTAATCAAATGCAAAAGAATGTCAACAATCAAGGACTAAAGGAAAAATTTGGAAGGACTATGCCGAAGAAAAAAGAAAAAGAAATTAAATGTCTAGGAAGCGACGCCTGCAGGATTCGAACCTGCGCTCCCGAGGGAAATGCCTGAATGCTAAGTTGCGAAACTATAGCAGGGCATCGCGTTAACCACTCCGCCAAAGCGCCCTGGAACTGTGGTAAATTGGCTTGCTAGGCCGTCGTATATGGCTTGCATTGGAAGGGTGCTAGGACCATCTAGCTTGGTCAGCGAATCACGGAGTGTCTGTGCGTCCGATACGGGGCAAAATGCTTGCAGCTCATCAATTAGACACCTAGGTAATTTGTACACGTCAAGCACAACACCACATTTATCAAATGATATGATTCTGATCAGGAAGAAACTTGTGTAATCAAGAGAAGAATCCTCTACGCACAACTAATGACGAAAATGCTAATAACACAAAGGAGTAGTCAACTTCGAAGCACGAGTCTGCATCTCTACAGAGTTGGAATTGGACGCAGATGTCTGAACACAATCGTTGTCACGATGCAGACCATAGAAGCATGGGAAAGAACTCTGTTGTGGCACGAGGGGCCCTGTCTACGAGCTAGCGGTCCATATACCTGAGCATCCTTTGTCTAAGCTATGAAGCCCCTGATGACTCCGATAGACTCCCTGGTTCCTGGTGGCCTAAGTGACTAGACTCCTAACAATCGTCTTTGGGGACACCTTTGCGCCTCTGACTGGACCTCGTTCCTTCTTCCATCTCCGCTGGGAGATGCCGTTTCCCATTTTGCACATCAGTTTGTGCATTCATCTTATTAGCAGGCCACAAATTCACCCTTGATATTGCTGGCAGACTCTGATCCACTGGTATGTGATGTGTTGATGCCGTTCGTTGGTTCTTCTTAACTTCTCGTGCCGTCCGCTGGCAAGTTCCTCGGCAGGATGCCGGCATTTTGCTGACATACCTGCCGTCTGCGAGGGAAAACTTGGGGTGGGGATCTCCGCACTTCTGGCAAACAATCTCGACTTCAGGATCGATGCCTGGGATTCCTGGTCTCATTAAGTCAACTCTACCGTGTGACTGGAAAATGGAGTTGGAAAGATTCCTCCAGCCAGTTAATTCATGCGTTTTCCACGCATTTATACTCTTTTCGGAACAGCGGTTCTCTATCCACTGCACTACCTCCGGGTCTTCAGAAAGCCACAGGGCGTTAGCATTGCCGCGTCAGAGTGAATATTGTCAGGGCGGTTCCCCTGCGTGAGGGGGCTGGCAACATTGAAGCCTGAGCTCGAGTTGATTATGCTGCATCTAGGTACTTCTGTAGTAGAATCTTTGGCAGAGTCTGAAATGTGATGCAATAGAACATTTCGGAAATGTTAGACCATAGTTGCTCGTCGAGGGTAGAGCCAGTGCTTGGTTCTTTGATCGAAAGAACCAACCATCTCACATGGCGTTTCTTATCAACCGCCCGCCATAGGTTGTAGAATAGGTTCTTTGTCCCTGCTTGCTTATCTTTCTTGTGCCTGCAGCATCGATCTCGAATGGTAACGTTAGCCTGGCCTCCATATCTTTTGGAATATTCCAAGTCTAACTCGGAAGTCATATGTCCCAAGTAACATCCAGGCTCTTGTGCCAGGTATATGTAGTCTTTTGAAAGACTATCGAGGGTGGCCTTATCTGGGTGCGTGTTGCTACGTATGATGTCTAGCACCCTTGACTCCCGTTGTATTCGTTGCCAGACCCACTCTTTCGAGTGGCCTTTGAAGAATTCTGGATATTCTTCTCCACGGGTCCCTAACGGGGCATTGGTACGAATCTTGCTGAGGATGTTACGTAGATCAGAATCAACTTGCGAGGCACTAGTGGAAGGGATGACTGTTCCTCGATGACGATTAGCCTGAGTCGAAGCCAAACAAAATGTGACTAACCTGGAGAATTGGCTGTTTAGAGTGAAATTCAGAGCGAATCGAAAGCAAGGAACTGGTTGCGCGTTGTGATAATCGGTGAAAGTCCCGGACACACGAGTTTGGGAGACCTGACGGGGAAGAATAGGATGTGTGCTGTCTTCAATCGGCTTGTCGTGGAGCACAGCCGTGATGCCGAGCCCTAGGAGGCTAGATAGTGATCTCTTCAGCTCTGTCAAGTGAGATGCCCTAGGTTGGTACCACGATACAGACTCTTGGGAAGAGAAGCCTGAACGAAAGGATCAATGCACTTCTAGTAACATTGTATGATACTGGGTAGACGATCGTGTTTTGCATGATGTATTGGTTCCTGGTAGTTGGGATAGATACTGGCACTGAACTTCTTCAGGGGTCGACATGGTGATTGGTGAATACTTCCTTGGGGACTTAATGTCTGAATGGAGGTAAACTCAAGCTGAATCTGTGGTAGGTACTCGTCTATGAACTGGTTAGGAGTCGGTCTTTGTGTGAATTACCTGTTGGCATTGCTAGATGAGGTAGGGGAGGAGGTTTGAAATTGACTTAGGTGTGAGAATGGAGAGTCTTATATATTAAATGTCAAGTTGAAAACTCTACTGAGAGCTGCGTCTGCGAATTGCTTTAAAGTTTTGGCAGCATTGGATGTTTAGGCAGATGTAGAAGACATGACCTCATTGTATCCGGCCTGTCCCTCCCTACGATGAGTCGAGTCAACGTATTATACTACCTACCTATATAATTCCTTAGATTAGAAGGAGCCACACGGTCTGTATCACTTCCGAGGACTACTGATGTTACCTAATGGTATAATAAAACTTCATGCCCCTAGAGAAATGGAACCTTAAAAGAAATTCTAGGTTGTATCTGCGACCACTTGAGCAAGAAAAGGCTTGTTGGGTTTGGGTTTGGGTTTGTGTTTGAGGCGGCAGCTTGGTGTAGTTGTGCTTGTTTTTATGAATGCTTCAAGTTTTTATTCCTTTATTTGCCTGTCTATTTCACAGCTCTATGCATTGTATTCCTCGTCTCCTTCTTCTTGTTCTTCTTCATCATCTTCATCGTGCTGTTTACTATGGCGCGATTGCATGATTGCAAGTGCGGCGTCGCATTTTGTGACAACTTATGGTGTGCCTGGCATTTGAGGCATCCTTGCACAGTGTTAGCCCGGCACTTTGTCGGGATAGAATTACCTAGGTACCCCACAAGTCAAGGCCCGCAGGGGTTCTGATGCCTCTAGCTATGATGCAACTGTCATGTAGAAGCTGCCCAGCACAGTACATATTTACATAGACGGCGGTAAACGCTTGATGAATATATTTCTCTATCGGGTTCCAACGTTTGCTATGATATCTACCCCTTGATTATGACCGTATTGCTACTGAGCGCACTGGGCGAGTTGTTAGTGAAGCCGTCCTTGATTTCTACTAGTAGTCGTGTTATTCTGGGTTTGCTGGTTGGTAGCTATGTAGATAACAAGCTTACTGGGTACCTACATGTAAGCAGCGAGCAGTTGCTTGCGTAAATACCTCTTGGCATGAACTTGAGGATATCTAGAGACTAATAAGCGAACAAGCATGATCCTACCATGCGGCTACTAGCAGTGATTCGGGAACGCACTGAAGTATTTTGTCAGATATATTAATTTACCCGTTCGTGTCTTAGAAGATCAAATGTGCGACATGATGCAGCGGTGATCTCAACTTCGTACATGCGACTCATGCGCAGCTAGGTTTCCTAACGAACGCTGACATGTATATGCTGGAGCGGAAAGAGAAGCGAAAACTCACCTTGGTCTCTTCAAACCGACGTGCAGCCGCGAGTCATTTCAGGGGCATTCTGTCTGCGAGTGTCGGTCTAACAACTGCGCTTCTTGCACCTAGAACCCTAAGCGTTGAGCGAAATCAATAGCCTCGCACGCCAGGAGCCTCGGACAAGTTCATTCTCGTACGACGCCTAGTAAAGCTATCGCTTTTGCACCGCCCATGATTCCTGACGCAGTGTGTAGATAAGTAAATGACGACGCCATCACGGACACTATTCCAATATAGGCAAGCCTGGAGGCGCCGGTATAGGGCTACGGGACACACGGCCTCGCCGTTTGCACGATGAAAATCGATGAAGCCTAGAGATGAGGCCTAGAAACCCGTGGATGGGTTCATTGGTTGGAGGATCCAGGATGAAGTTCAACGGCTTTTTGCAGTCTTCTCCTCGTTTGACGTCTCTTGTGTCGCACAGAAGGGCTGTAATATGTTGTGCTACGTCTTGGGCTGCCTCAGACTGAGACATCCGCAGTGGCCGGCCGGCAATTATTAATCTGGAGTAGAATTGTCTTAGTCTGGCCAACACGAGACCGTGAGACGAAAACGAGGATGCCATGTGCGCGATTCCTGTAGAACTGCTTTAGCAGACATTAGTCCATCCCAAGCGGCTGGTTCTAGAGCTGCTAGAGCTGCTAGAATCTACGCATAACGCTAATTCATTACTCCTTCGCCTATCGGAAATCAAGCGACTTAGCGTTGGCTCGATATACATACCTTAGTATCGCTATTTTGGCATGGGGCGCTTTTTGGATGCTAGATCCTCGATCTATCCCCGAATAATAATGGGTTGGTGTTAGATCTTTTTCACCAACCTTCTTCCATGTTACCAATGCATGAATTGAATGTCTGAGACCGAAAACTGAGGCTGATGAGGCTGGGATGCTAAAGATATCCATTGGACGCCATCATCTCCACCACGAGCAAACAATGTGAGAGTTTGTACCCAACGCACGTCCCTCGGCTCAGATAAAGAGCATAACAATGACAATAATAAGAGGCGACTAATAAGATTCGCGAGTTGCTTCTGGTTTGTGCGAGCTATTGAACCCCATTGCTTTTGCTTGGATATGACTCCCTCGAGACCATTGGTTCTGACCTTCCATGAACCTTGCCCTTTACCGGTTTCTAGCGGCAGACAGCCATGAATAAATTGAATGAAATAACTGTCCGATCTTTATTGGACTTTGACGTTATTAGAGCGCACTCCCTGATTACTATACCATGCCGTCGCGGTCCCGACCTGTTTTCATGATCTTTTGCGCCCTTTGCTTCTTGATCGCCACGGGGCTTTTACTACGCAGTACCACGTAATACAACCCCGTACCTTACAGACATGCAATTCGGAATGCTGCTAAATAGTTTGTTACAGGGGCTAGACTCAGGGGTCTTCACGCCCCCTCTTTGATGAGCTTGGCGGA